TTTCCAGGATACCAAGTACTGGATTCCCCCCCCCCCCGATGTATACAAGAGTTCAAAATGTCTTTGACTTCGAAGTGCTGCTCTTCCTCGATCATAATGGGGTCAGGAGGTGGTTGCGATTTGGGAATGCAAAGAAGATACGATTTCTGGTTTCAATAGGCTACAATGAAATACTGGCTGTACATGTCTGAGCATTTTTGGCTACTCAAGTTCTACAGTTACTGGTTTAATAATTCCTTTAATGGGGAAAGGTCCAATGTATTTCGGCCCCAATTTTTTGGACGGTTGTGTAGATTGTAAGAATTTGGTAGATATAGACCTTGTCTCCCACTTTAAAGTCCTTTTGGCTTAATGCCCTTATCAGCCTGTTCTTGGTATGCTTTCCTAGCTTCATCCAAAGCTTTTCTCACCACTGGCCAGGTGTTCTGTAACTGAGCAACCCAATCTTTCAGTGATGCAGTTAATGGGGTGACCTGAAGTAATTAATGGTTTTGAAGTAAAGTTTTGTCCTGTGGCCACTTTAAATGGAGGGAATCCGGTGCTGCTGTGAACTGAGTTATTCTAGGCGATCTCTGCAAAAGGGAGGAGGCCGTCCAATTGTCCTGCTGGTAATATAACATCTGACTTATTGTTCCAGGATGCCATTGGTTTATTCACAGTCCCCATTAGTAGTTGGATGATTCAAGGAGCTGAGCCCCTGAGTGGTCCCCAAAAGTTTTAGGAACTACTGCCAAGATCACAAAATGAATTGGACTCTGCGAATTGAGATTATTCTTTCTGGAGCACCATGAATAATTTAGCCAAAGTGCATGCAGAGGAAATTTTTTGACATGGTGTGAAGTGCACTTGCTTGTAAACCAAATCGGTTATCACCCAAATTATCATATTACTTGAGCTTTCGGGCAATTCTAAGATAGTCCATTGATATCTCTTTCCATGGAGCTTTAAGTACTGCTACTGGCTGGAGAAGCCCAGGTGTTTTCCCTTGTCGCCTCTTGGCAGAAGCACAACTGAGGCAGCTAGCCACACAGGTCTCTATATCCTTTTTCAGTGACAGCCACCAAAATTGCCACTTGATTAGGTGCAGGATTTTTACAAAGCCAAAATGCCCCGCCATTTTTGAATCATAGCTTTTTTGCAGAACCATTCATTCTTGGCTTTGTGGGACATATAGTTTGGCTCCCACCCAAGCTAGACCATCTTGCATTGTACATTCCCCTTATGGATTTGGAACCATTTATCCTCCTCCAAAGCTGCCTTCAGGGCGCCCTTTAAATCATCAGCTAGTTGCTTTTCATTTTGGCTTGTGCCTGAGTGGTGACTGGGGCTGCCAGTTTTCTGAGGGGGTGACTGGTTTAATTTTTTTTTTTTAATTTGATTTATATGCCGCCCTTCTCCGGAGACTCAGGGCGGCTTACAATGCGTTAAGCAATAGCCTTCATTCTTTTGTATATTTATACAAAGTCAGCTTATTGCCCCCACAAACTGGGTCCTCATTTCACCTACCTTAGAAAGGATGGAAGGCTGAGTCAACCTTGAGCCTTGGAGAGATTCGAACCAGCAGAAATTGCAGGCAGCTGTGTTAATAATAGGGTGCACTAAACCACTGTACTATCAAGGCTCTTGATCTCCTCCAGCTTTGAACTATTGTATTGCAGCAGCCTGGATAAAGCATTTGCTAGAAGGTTTCTTTTCCCAGGGAGGTATTGTAATGTGAAGTTGAATTGTTTAAAGTACTGGGTCCACTGGGCCTGTTTGGTAAATAGTCTAAGGGGGAGGGGGGCTTCAAGGCTTCTAAATTTTTAAAGTCTGTCCATATTTTCCCTCCTTCTAGAAAATGCATCCAAGTTAGGAGCACCCAGCACACTATATAGGCTTCCTTTTCCAAGACTGCTTATCTTTGCTCCATCTCATTTGGCTTTGAAGAAATGTAGGCATGTGGCTGTAGGACCCCTTGCTCGTTTTCCTGTTGAAACGCTGCGCCCACCACAACACCACTAGCATCAGCTTGAATGATAAAGGGGGTGTTGGGGTCTGGGTGTTTCAGCATTGGCTCTGCTGCAAACAGACATTTAAGCTCTTCAAATGCAAGCTGGCATTCCATAGTCCATATAAGTGGCTGGTTGGGTTTGGGTTTCCTCTCCTCCTTTGTCTTTAGTACCTAGATTAGTGATGGGAAGGCTATCTGAGCAAACAAAGGGATAAATTGGCAATAAAAGTTCGCAAATCCCAGAAAGCTTTGTAGTTGCTTTCAGGTGTGGGGAGCAGCCCACTCTAGCACTACCCACACCTTTTTGGGTCCATCTCTTTCTCTCGTGGGAAATGCTATAACCCAGATATTCAATTTTACTCTGGTAGAATTTGCATTTGCATAGCTTAGCATATAGTTCGGTCACTCAAAGCTTCTTGAGAACACCTCTAACTAATTTCACAATGAGATATTTGGAGGTAATGCACATATTTCTCGGGGTGCCTGGCCATGGGATGCTGGTACAAGCAGAATCTGATTGCTCTGGTCTTTATCATCTGTCATTTCCCTTTCCCGATTTCCCATCACATACACACACAGCTTTATTGCACTTTCATCCTAACCCCCTTCACTTCCAGCCTTTGATGGCAGGATGCCTGTGAGGCAACAAGCTAAATCAGGCAGAGCTGACTGGCAGGCTGCAGGGATGGAACTGGGAACTTCAGTATCTGGGTTACCTTTAGCCAACCTGCCAAAGGAGTTTATCTCCTCTCCATGTGTGAAGAAGTGCTGAAACAAATCTTCAATCTTCCAGATCTGACCTAGTGTTGTGGCCCGCCAACTGCCAGCAGAGCTGGCAGCAGATTCGAATGATGAGGAGGTTGGGAAGAACTTGGGCCAGGTTTGTTTATTTGAACTGACTTAATTTGCAGCCTTTCAACTGGGAGCTCACAGCCTTGCAATTATTATAATAAGCTGATACCGCCTATTGCTTCAATTAACTCCTTGCAGGATTCTGGCCTGGACTTTAGGTAAATGCACCCAGGCCCCAGGAGGGAAGGGAGCTTGATACCACCTGGGGCCATGAGGGAGGGGCTGCAGTAGCTGCTTAGCTGAGCTGGTTGCTCCTACTGGCTGCTGGGGCCGGGACTCACCCTCGTCACTGCCACTGGCAAGGATCGGGAACTTCTCCAGTGGCTTGTCCCTGCCGTTAAAGCTTCATGTTGCACTGGAGTGGCTCGCTTCAGGCTTTTCCCTCCTGCCATCAGTCAAAACTTCAGGCTGGTGAGGCAGAATCTGACAGGGGGACTCGGGCTCCATCATTTCAGAAGCGGCTGGGCAGCTTGGTGGATCACTTCCTCCGTTACCTCCAACTGGTACAGAGGTTCCACACCCCGGATGCCCATGTGGTCAAACCACTTCCTCAGCCGCTCCAGCAAAGAACTCAAAAGTGTGATCAAGTATTTCCACTCTCTCGGCTCATCCTAGTCTACCACTCTCCTTTCTCTCCACTGCATGAGTTGGGCCCCCATGTACATGAATGCCGCCACAGGGAGCTCAATTTGCACTCTTCCGGGGGCTCTCCTCCACCAGAATTCATTTGTTGCGAGGTAGGGGCTTCTCCGATCGCTGCTTCTTCCCACACCTCTGTCAGGTTGGACTTCCTTGCTCACTTGGGCTCCTGCTTGCATCGTCACTAGTTCCTCCACTGGCTTGCCTGTGGCCTCCTTCCCTTTTTTTCAGCCATCTCTTCCTAAGGATTTCCCTTCCCCCTGAAGTGACCGGGCGGAGGGCCGGTGCTCAGGAATCCTAGAGTTTTGACAAGTTTACGGAGTGTTGGTTTAATGTCATGGTTCCGAATAATGCTGCAAATCAATTCAAGACTCTTGAGGCCTTGGCTTCCTCAAAATCTGGTTTATTGAGTACATCATATCAGCACGGTCAAAGGTGAAACCAACACTGAATAATTCCTGTGTTTTTGGTATAATTAAAGAATAGATACTGGCCATCCCCCTTGTGTCACAGGTCATGTCAGCCAACCAAGTAGGTGATGAACTTCTCAGCACTCCCTCCTGCCGTTGCTAGGGCATGTTGATCTGGCCTTGGGTTTCAGGAACCTTATCCTTGTTACGTCTGGCACATTGGAGGAAAACATTCTACATTCCACATCTTCCACCCCGCCAGCCTCCAAGCATGGCAATTAAGAAACATTAGCTAGAGTCTTTTCAAGAGTTGGCATGCTATCTTGCTGACATTAGAAAAAACAGAAATTACTGTCTGTACTTGGTAATGGCGTCTTAAGGGGCCACAGGGGGAAAATAAGATCAGAAGATGGTCACAGGAGAAAAAATGGTTGGGAAACACTGCTCTAAAGGAATTCTTTAGCCCACAAATTTTATCATCATGGTTTGTAAAATAAGTAAAATCTTTAACTCTGTTTCTTAATACCTTATCAATAATCTTATAAGAGGAAGACTGGAGCAGACTTTTGTGGGGTGTCTCAAAATACTGTTGATGTATCAGGAGGAAATCCAAGTAGCATCTTTTGTGTGTGCTACTTTAGAACACAAGGCTAGCACTGATGATTTGTTTGGGTAATGAAATGTCTGTAAGAAAACAACCAAGCTCAGACAACACCAAGGACCCCTCAAAAGTCTTCTTTTTCTATAATTGGCAAAAAGTGCATTATTATTTTGGTATTCGGATCAATGCCTGGAGGTATGATTTGAGATCATTTTATTAATCATTATTTTGTTTACAGTTCAAACAAACAATTAAAAAATAGGAATGAATGAGTTTTGAAGTGACCATGAAAAAAAAGTATGCACTATACAAAAAATAATTGAGGTTTTAATAGACTCATTGCTTCATTGAAGTTAAAGCAACAAAATGTAATTACTTCTGCATTATCTTTCTTAAAGATGGGAAATATAATTTTGATTCCTTCTAAATTGTATATAAATGTAAAGAAATGCAAACTATATAACACTTGAGTGTACATGTTTTCAAATACTTTGTAATTGTTTTTCAGCTGACATAGCTCAAAGATATAGGATAAGTAAATACCCAACCTTGAAGTTGTTCCGGAATGGAATGATGATGAAGAGAGAGTATCGAGGTCAGAGATCAGTGACAGCAATAGCAGATTATATCCGGCAGCAGAAAAGCAATCCAATTAGAGAAGTACTAAGCTTGGAAGAAATTAACTCTCTTGATGTGAGTTTGTATGTATATAAGTATATGTTGATTGCCATATATAAATTTGAAAATCCATGTTAACTGCTTAGCAAGTTACACTCATTTTCTCATTTAGTGAAGATTGTTTAGAAGTCTTATAACCACTATTATAATATTTTTAAATATTTTAAATTTTCAAACTTTTAAAATATTTTTAAAATTAATGCTAATTTTAATAACTTCCTTGGTAGCATTTCAAATATTGTAGAATAATTTTGGTTATGTGATCTACATTGCAGTGAAAGCAAACTTATTATTAGTCATAAAATTTGTAGTCCTTAATTTTCCAAATGATTATAGTCATGGATGTGGACAGCCACCATCCAAAGTGGACAAGGGACTGGATTAAGGCAGAGATGAGCCAGATTTAAGTCTACCATCAGCGATCAAAGATAACCTTGAGTCAATCACTCCCTATCTATCCAGTTTACCTCGACTCCCATGGGGAGAAAATAAAAGGAGTATTAAATATGCCTTACAAACAGTCATTATAATCTATCATGGGCTCCTGTAAATGAGAACGCAGAGAATCTTGAAGTTTATGTGTGTTTCAAGCCCAAGAATATATTTGGATAGACATTTATCTACTGTTGTATAAATTCTGTAGTCACTGTTTTTGTGACTGGAAGGAAATAGATGATATCTTCTACACAGGCACATGTAAAACATTATTTCAATGAAAATATAGGTTCTTAATAAAAATGGATATAATAATAAGATTAATACTTCCAAGATTGTCTGCACATTTTTTTATTTGTTGCAAGGGTATACTTGAGATCCTGGACTATGATTTTATTCTAATGTTACATTTGATTCTAATAGATATCATCTGTTTGTTTAAAGAACTATAGAATTTATGAAAATATTAATTTCTTTAAAGGGTGAGTTAGAATGTTATGTATGTTTTATGTGTTACAGCGCAATAAAAGAAACATTATTGGCTATTTTGAACAAAAAGACTCTGATAATTACAGGAACTTTGAAAGAGTAGCAAATGTTTTGCATGATGACTGTGTCTTCCTAGCTGCATTTGGGTAAGATTTTTAAATGTAAGAAATAATTGCAATAGATTAAATAACAGTGTATTAAATATTGAAAATATAACTTTTATCCTTATGAATTAACACATGATTCAAAAAAGTTTTACATTTGCATCCTTTCTTTAACAATGCTATGAAAGCTATTTTAAAATATTTTTTTTTCAAATTTGGTCTTGAAACTACTCTCTCCATAAAACAGCAGCCCTATTACTGTTATTTGTATCTTCCTTATACACATTCAATCTTGGGAAATCAGTCTAGGGGCAGAGAATTACAGAAATTGGGAAGCTCCTATGATTGTAGTAGTGCAGTGATTAGAATGCAGCACTCAGGCTAATTCACTACTCACTGTAGGAGTTCGATTCTGACCAGCTCAAGGTTGACTCAGCCTTCCATCCTTCTGAGGACGGTAAAATGAAGACCCATATTGTTGAGGGCAATATGCTGACTCTGTAAACTAGAGAGGGCTATAAAGCACTGTGAAGCAGTATATAAGTCTACATGTCATTGCTATGTTTTCAGGCAGGAAACCAGAGTTTTAAACTATTTGCTGGTCTGTTCACTGCAGCTAGCACTTAGAATGATAATCAAATTAGGATGTGGTGTTTGAATATATTCTCATGCAGGGCAGAAAAAAATTAAAACCAAACGGTTTTGTTTTTGCCTTTGCTAATAAATAATGGCTAAAATAAATGATACTTTAGCATGATATCTGGATTGAGCCAATGACTAAAGATGTGTTGCTATTCCAGTATTTATTTTCTTATTTCATATCCTAGAATAGTAAGATCAAAATTATTTTAATCCTTAGGTCTGTTTCCAAACCAGAAAGATTTAGTGGGGACAACATAATATATAAGCCAACAGGGGTAAGTTTGATTTTCCCCCCTATCTATTAAATTTGATGAAATGTTTAAAATTAGTCCAAATCCATAAAATTATGCATACAGGTACTCCTCAACTTATGACCACAATAGAGCCCAAAATTTATGTTGCTAAATGAGAAGTGTGTTTCACCCCATTTTATGACTTTTCTCACCACGTTTGTTAAGTGTATCACTGCATTTGTTAGAAAGTTAGAAACATAGTTTTTAAGTAAATCTGGTTTTCCCATTGACTTTGCTTGTCAGAAGGTTGCAAAAGATGATCACATGACCCCGGGACACTGCAATCGTCATAAATGTGAGTCAGTTGTCAAGCATCCAAATGTAAATCACATGACCATGAAGACAACAGTCAAAAGTGTGAAAATTGGTCATAAGTCACTTTTTTCAGTGCCATTGTAACTTTGAACAGTCACTAAATGAACTGTTGTAAGTTGAGGACTACCTATATATGATAGTAGTAATTGTATTTCATTCTTCTAGAAATACAGGTTTAAATCGCTCAAGATAGGTAGCATTAGCCAGGCTCCCAAATAAGTATTTATTATTTATATTTCATTTATATTTCTTCTTGATCTCTATACTCCATGGCTTTCTGCATCTATCTAAAGAATCACAAGAAAAGTCTTTATTACAGTGTGGAGCAATAGTTTTTACTGAAGTAATCTCTTGATTTTTTTATATCTATTTAGTTTTGACTTCATTTCTATTTATTATTTTTATTATTTTATTAAAAGGTATTTTTCAGTGTGTTTTTTAAATCTTGGGGTACTGTATGACTCTGAAGGCTTCCTTTCGGAAATATACTAATTAAGACAGTACACTTGCCCATATAATAGAATTATCTGGTTTTATCTGCTTACAGATAAAAGATCTGTTTTTAGTGGATACTTGCAGCATTTCCAGACTGAACAGCTCTGCTTTTCCTTGTGGGCCATTGTCATTATATTAGACTATTTATTTAAAGTAGAACATGGCTTGTTACAATTTCATTCTAAATCAATTTATAAGTCTGGTTTTGAACTGGAAATTGTATTTTGACATTTTTGGTCCTAACAATTGGATCCTACAACTTAAAACTGATATTAGAGTTTCTTGGAGTCAGAGCATCAGATTCTATAATTAGACAAAGTTCTTACCCCAAGAGGATAGATCTCATTCCAAAAAGAAAACTTCCAAGAGTTACATTACCAGTCCTTGAAGCATTCACTATATAGTAGGCTATGACATCACGGCCTAAGGGATTGAATTTTGAGAATCCAAAAGTCGATACCTTTTAAAATATTTTTGATACTTTGATTCTTTTTGCTGTGACATCACAGCATAAGGGACTGAGTTTTGAGAATCCAAAAGTCGATACCTTTTTAAAGATTTCTGATACTTTGCTTCAAGTCACAGTCATGTTCTTAAGAACATGTTAACTTCTCTGTAGCTTATAAATTACCCTTATCCATCAAAGGACTTTTTGTGTAATGCCCAATGTTCTTATGATTCAATATTCACTTATTTTGTTGGCTAGCATTGTGATTGAATCCTAGAACCTTCAATAAACTATCACCAGCTCTTTAATTAGAAACAAGATCAAACCATTTTCATCCAAGTAATTATATAATGTGAAATTGCAGTAAAGTTATTTCCTTTTATTGTTTTCCATAAAAACTCTAATTTACAACTCAGACATGCAGAATATGGTTGTCACAAGCAGATTTCTCCCAGAAAATCAGAAATCCAAAAACATACGAATACTTTTAAAAAACAGTCAGTTATTCAAACAAAAGAGATACCTTTGCAAATATAACAAACCTTCTTTGCTCTAAATTGTTAGGTATTTGCAAACTTTGAGGAGACGATAAAATGCAATAGCTGGTAGATAAATAAGACAAGTTTCAGTATGCTGATGATACTCAGCTGTACATCTCCACCCCAGACCACCCCAATGATGCCCTTGAAGTGATGTCCTGGTGCCTGTAGGCCGTGCGGGCCTGGATGGGGAGAAACAGGCTCTGACTCAACCCTCAACCAACTCAACCAAGACCGAGTGGCTGTGGCTTCCGGCGTTCCCGATATAGCCAGCTGGTACCATCGCTGGTTATTGGGGGCAAATCACTGGCCCCCACGGAGAGGGCTCGCAACTTGGGCGTCCTCCTGGATGCACGGCTGTCTTTAGAAGAGCTTATGACGGCCATGGCCAGGGGGGCTTTTTATCAGGTACGTCTGATACGCCAGTTGCGTCCCTTTCTGGATTGGGACTCCCTACATACGGTCACTCAGACACTCGTCACTTCCCACCTGGACTACTGCAATGCTCTCTACATGGGGCTCCCCTTGGGGTGCACCCAGAAGCTCCAGTTGGTCCAGAATGCGGCCGCACGGGGGATTATGGGAGTGACGGGGCGCTCCCATGTGACACCTCTCCTGCGCAAGCTGCACTGGCTTCCGGTGGTCTTCCAGGTGCGCTTCAAGATGTTGGTGACCACCTTTAAAGCGCTCCATGGCTTAGGGCCGGGTTATTTACGAGACCGCCTTCTGCCGCCACCAGCCAGTACGCTCGCACAGAGAAGGCCTCCTCAGGGTGCCGTCGGCCAGACAATGTCAGCTGGCGGCCCCCAGGGAGAGAGCCTTCTCAGTGGCGCCACCTGCCTTCTGGAACGACCTACCCCCAGAGATAACGCACAATAACAGACCTCCGGACTTTTCGTCGGGCCCTGAAAACTCATTTATTTCATCTAGCCGGGCTGGCTTGATCCCATCCTTTTGGTTTTAATTTGAAATTGGTTTTAACTGGGTTGTTTTAAATTGTGGGCCGAAATTATTTAATGTCTTTTAAACTGTTTTTTAAATTTTATATGTTATATTTTATCTCGGCTGTTCACCGCCCTGTTGGAGAAGGGCGGTATAAAAATTAAATAAATAAATAAAAATAAAAAAATACAATCCCCTCCCAAGGAAATTGCTATGTGATTACGACCATTAGGTGTGTACATCCCAACTGTGACAAAATGAAACGTTCTGGGAAACTTCAAAACATTTTTTTTCCTAATGATAGCAAACTGATTTTCTGGGATGGATCAGCTTTTTATTTAACCTATAAACTAGAAGCAGCTTGTGCTCTATGAAATCCATCTGTATGGGGGAAGATATATATCTGGAACAGTAATGGGTTGTCCCTGGTTTGGACTGGTTCGCAAGAACTGGTAGTAAAACTGGCAGGAGGCTCCGCTCACCGCCCCGGATGTCATCATAGGTGATCTGCACATGCACAGAAGCTTCTGTGCATGCACAGAAGCTTGGCGTACACGCGATTCCGTTGTGAACCAGTATTAAAGGTAGGTAGAACTCACCCCTGATCTGGAATACCATAGAATTCATTGTTGAAAATTAACTTCTAGAAAACAACCAGGCCATTTTTAGAATAACTATATTAGTTCAGTCTATACAAGGAACAGATTCTATTTCCTGAATGGCGCATTTTCAATTATAACTTCAGTAAATTACCTGATCATAATCTTCTCACTGACTCCTTTATTTTTAGAAGGTATGGTCTGCAGCATGTGTTGCTTCCTGAGAAGAGCAATAAACTTTCTAACCATTAATAGGCTGAATATTAAATTAAATTAAAATTGTAAAATTATTCTTTTCCTATCAACAATTTCTGAGAATCTCCATTCCCTGTCAAGGACAACTGATCACATATGACAGCAATCTCATCTTCCTTCTTGTAACATAAAAAAAACAAAACATGTCAAAAAGCCATCTAGTTTAATCTTTTGTGTCATTTAATGTCTAGCCTGATAGATTAGGGAATAACAAAATAACAGAATTGGAAGGAACCTCGGACGTCTTCTAGTCCAACTTCCTGCTCAAGCAGGAGTCAGACAAATGGTTGTCCAAACTCTTCATAAAAACTTCTAGTAATGGAGAATCCACAACTTCTGAATGCAAGTCATTCCACTAATTGTTCTAACTGTCAGGAAATTTCTCTTTAGTTCTAAGCTGGTTCTTTCCTTGATTAGTTTCTATCCATTGCTTCTTGTTCTACTTTTGTTTCCCGAAAAGTAGAAAAGGGAACAAGGGGATCAGCCATATTGGACTTAATTCTTACTAACAGAGACGAAATGATAGAAGGTGCTGAAGCTACAGGAACCTTGGGGGCAAGTGATCACACAATATTGGAATTCAATATTATGCAAACACAAGTAGTAGAACAAAGTCAAACTAGAGTCTTAGACTTTAAGAGAGCTAATTTCAATAAACTTAGAGAGAGCTTGAGAAGGATTCCATGGTGAGAATCTTCAAGGGGAAAACAACTCAAGAAGCTTGGGAAATTTTGAAAAGTGAGATTATAAAAACCCAGTCTAGCACAATACCAATGAAGAAGAAAAATAATAGATCTCAAAAGAAACAGTATTGCTGCATAAAGATCTCTCTAACACAGGGGTCCCAAACCTTTCATAGCTCAGGGATCACTAAATTCATAATTTTAAATCTCATGGACCACTAATACGATCTGCCTAATGACTGGCTGGGTGGGCATGGCTAGGTGATCATGTGATTGGATGGGCATGGCCAACTTGATGTCACTCACGTCAAGGGGCAGCTTGGCAGCCTTTACTCACCCCTCCCCTGCCAGCCACTCCTCGCCTCCCCACCCAAGCTCCTTAGGGCCCCAACAGGTAGCAGTTGTTGCAGCTAAGCAGCCACCATGAGAAAGAGTTGGCAAAACAGCTCAGTTCAAATCGGATCTGATCGGGAAGGAGGATCAGCAGAAGCACCTCACTGAGGACTACAAGCATAGGCTTTCCAAGCAGAGGGAAGACCTGTGGGAGTGCAAGGCCAGGTACCGGCGCCTGGAGGCTCAGCGGACTGAGATAGTCAATCAGTTCCAGGCCATGATACAGTCCCACTGGAACAAGGTCCTCCGGCGGCACTTCCCTCTAGTCTTCGCCCAAAGCCCCGCACAGGGGGCCGAAGCAGACCCCAAGTCA